CAAATCTTTCCCTTTTTAAGGAATTCAGGTCCTATGTGGTCAATAATGTTTTAATATTGTTTTAAATTTTATTTTATATTAGTTTCAGGTGTATAGCACAATGGTTAGACACTTATATAATTTACAAAGTGATTCCCCCAATTAGTCTTAGTCCCCACCTGGCACTATACATAGTTACTACAGTATTATTGATTATATTCCCTATGCTGTATGTACTCCACATCCCTGTGACTGTTTTGTAACTACTAATTTATACTTCTTAATCCTTTTACCTTTTTCACCCAGCCACCCAACCCCGCTCCCATCTGGCAATCACCAGTTTGTTCTCTGTATCTATGAGTCTGTTTTTGTTGTTTGTTCATTTATTCTGTTCCTTAGATTCCACATATAAGTGAAATCATATGGTATTTGTCTTTCTCTGTCTGACTTATTTCACTTAGCATAATATCCTCTAGGTCCATTGTTGCAAATGGTAAGACTTCATTTTTTGGTATGGCTAAGTAGTATTCCATTGTATATATGCTCCGCTTCTTTATCCAGTCATCTATTGATGGGCACTTAGGCTGCTTTCATATCTTGGCTATTGTAAATAGCACTGCAGAGAACATAGGGGTGCATATATTATTTTCAAGTTAGTGTTTTGGTTTTCTTTGGATAGATACCCAGAAGTACAGTTGCTGGGTCATAAGGCAGTTCTATTTTTAATTTTTTGAGGAACCTCCAAACTGTTCCACAGTGGCTGTACCAATTTGCAGTCCCACCAACAATAAACAAGTGTGAGGTGATATCTAATTGTGGTTTTAATTTGTATTTCTCTGATGATCGTGACATTGAGCATCTTTTCATATGTCTGTTGGCCATCTGTATGTCCTCTTTGGAGAAATATCTAATCAGGTCCTCTGCACATTTTTTAATTGGATTTTTTTTTTTGCTGTTGACTTGTATGAGTTCTTTATAAACTTTGGATGTTAACCGCTTATCAGCTGTATCATAGGCAAATATCTTCTATTCAGTAGGTTATCTTTTTATTTTGTTGGTTTCCTTCACTGTGCAAAAATTTTTAGTTTGATGTAGTCTTATTTGTTTATTTTTTCTTTTGTTTCCCTTGCCCGAGGAAATAAAAAAATATATCAGACAAAGTATTATTAAGAGCAGTGTCAGATAGTTTACTGCCTGTGTTTTCTTCTAGAAGCTTAACGGTTTCAGGTCTTACATTTAAGTCTTTAATCCATTTTGAGTTTATTCTTGTATATGGTATAAGATCATTTTTTAAGTCTAAAATGAGATACGGGGACATAAAAATTTATGTTGATCTTTGGTAAATGAAATTATGGGATTATTACCTATTTTATTAATATCTACAGTATGTGAAGTTTTTACACTAAACATTTTTTTCATAAAAATGACAATAATGCCTTGGAGAAGAAAATTCAGGGTATTAATGTAAATGTAAAAATTATCTCTTATAATATGGTGTGTTATTAGCACATGAAAAATGAATCCCCCATTCTAGCCTGTATAATAACACAAGTAACCAATGTAAAGTAATGCCATAAAAGGATACATCTTCAGAACAGACAACAGATTAAAATAAAATAATTACCTACCAGAGTTTGAAGAATACTCTTAACTGGCAGATAGTGTCTGGCTGTATCAATTAAAATTCCTCTATGAGGAAACCTTGGAGAATCACTGATGTTGGATTCATTGATGCTGAACTATAAGACAAAAGAAATTTTGATTTATTTTTGAAGTTTCTCTTGACCTGAGTTCAGTGAAGACTACATCTATGTATGCAAGTATTGGATAAAAGTGTGAAATTTACATTTACCAGCTAAGATAAATACATGGTGAGAAGAAACCTTCAGGTAGCAAATAAATATCTAAAAAGCTTACATTTTTCTTACAATAATATGTCTATTCAGCAATGTTAGTAATATATGATAATCATACTTACAGCCCCATTAGAATCTTGATAAATTAACTGGCTAAAGGTCTCTAAACCTAGGGAAAGTAAAATTTATATTTTATTGCATAATTTATAAAATAACAAATTGAGACAGTAAAAGAACCACAGAACCATAACCAGGTAAGGCAAATAAAATTAAAGTGTTGTTAGACCTTTATCCTCTAACATATTTTCTAAAATCAAAGCTTAATTTTCAAAAAAACCCTGTTGCTATTAATAAAAATACTTTACTTCATTGTACCCTGAGTTTTGTATGAATGATAAACAAAAGAATAGTGATTTAATATTTTTGCTAATTTATAGCATTATGAGTAAGCATAATTATGAAAAAATATTATAGGCACTTTGGAAGGTACCTAAACATAAAGATGGCAGAAAGGTTCAAAAAACCACCATGAAACTATAAATAACTTACAGTGCTTTACTTGGAGTTGAAAAGACTATCTCCTGAAAATTTTTTTACTCAAGTGGACTGTTCTTTTAAATCACTATTTTACAGGCCAAGTCCCATAACTGGTCTTAAGTTTACCAAAATTCATCATCCTAGCTGACAACTATGTAGCCAGAGAAAATTTTAATAGTTAAAAGTCAGAAATGAGAGAGGAGACATTAAAACTGATAACCAAAGAAATACAAAGATTCATAAGAGACTACTATGAACAATTATATGTCAGCAAATTTGACAACCTAGAAGAAATGGATAAATTCTTAGAAACATACAACCTACTAAGATTGAATTATTAAGAAATAGAAAATCTAAACAGCAAGTGTTGGCGAGGATGCGAATTAAAGGGAACCCTCATACATTGTTGGTGGGATTGCAAATTGATACAGCTGCTATGGAAAACAGTATGGAAGTTCCTCAAAAAATTAAAAATGGATATACCTTATGAACCAGCAATTGCACTTCTGGGAATTTATCCAAAGAAAACCAAAACAATAATTCGTAAAGATCTATGCATTCCAGTATTCATGGCAGTACAATTTACAATAGCCAAGATATGGAAGCAACTCAAATGCCCATTAACAGACAAGAAATTATGGTTCATACATACAATACATATATACAATCGAATATTACTCAGCCATTAAAAAAAAAAAAAGAAATCCTACCATTTGCAACAACATGGATGGACCTAGAGGTTATTATGCTGAGTGAAATAAGTCAGGCAGAGAAAGATAAATACCGTATGATTTCACTTATATGCGGTATCTAAGGAACAAAAAGAACAAACGGGGGGGTTAGGAGATGGGGGGGAAGGGTTAAGAAGTACAAATTAGTAGCTGGTGGTGATAGTTGGGCACGGGGAGCATGGCAAAGGGAATGCAGTTAGCATTAATATGATGGCTAAGTGGAGGGCCAGGGGAAGGAGGGAGCAATTGGGGGGATCGTTTTATGAACGTTATAGATGTCTAACCAATGTAATGTATACTTGAAACTAATTTAAATAAATAAATTTATTTTTTAAAAAACAGAAAATCTGAATAGATTGATTACTAGGAAGGAATGAGTAATCAAAAACCCAACAAAAGTCTAGGACCAGAAGGCTTCACTGGTGAATTCTCCAAACATTTAAAGAAGAGTTAATACTAATCATTCTCAAAGTCTCCCACAAAATATAAGGGGAGGAAACACTTCCAAACTCATTTTACAAGGCCAGCATTACCCTACTACCAAAATCATACAAGGACACAAGAAAATTACAGGCTAACATCCCTGC